TACTAAAAGCACAACGTCAGGCAATACCAATGAGATGGAAACATGGAAGGTGCCTAAAGAAGCCAGGGTGGCTATCTAAAGAACTTTTAACTGAGTTAAGATTAAAAAGGATGTGTACAAAAAATGGAAAAGGGGGGAAACCACCAAAGAGGAATTCATACAAATAGCCAGCACGTGTAAACACAAAGTCAGAAAAGCTAAAGCACAGAATGAACTCAGGCTTGCTAGAGAGGTTAAAAGCAACAAAAAGGCTTTTATGGGTATGTTCATAGCAAAAGGAAGAACAAAGAAACAGTGGGGTCACTCAGAGGAGAAGATGGTGAAATGCAAACAGGGGACACAGAAAGGGCTGAACTCCTCAATGCCTTCTTTGCCTCAGTCTTCGCCAATAAAGAAAACAATGCCCGACCTGAAGAATTTGGAGCAAATGATTCAGCAGAGGAAACACAGCCCAGAATAACTAAGGAGATAGTACAAGAATACTTGGCTAGTTTAGATGTATTCAAGTCTCCAGGGCCAGATGAACTGCATCCAAGAGTATTAAAAGAACTGGCAGATGTGATCTCAGAACCACTGGCAGTCATCTTTGAGAATTCCTGGAGAACAGGCGAAGTCCCGGCAGACTGGAGGAGGGCAAATGTTGTCCCTATTTTCAAAAAGGGGAAAAGAGAGGACCCAAATAATTACCGCCCAGTCAGTCTGACATCAATACCAGGGAAGATTCTGGAGCAGATCATTAAGCAAACAGTCTGTGAGCACCTAGAAAGGAATGCTGTGATCACCAATAGTCAGCATGGATTTCTGAAAAATAAGTCATGTCAGACTAACCTGATCTCGTTTTTGACAGAATTACAAGCCTGGTAGATGAAGGGAACGCAGTGGATGTAGCCTACCTTGATTTCAGCAAGGCATTTGACAAGGTGCCCCATGATATTCTTGTAAAGAAGCTGGTAAAATGCGGTCTTGACTATGCTACCACTCAGTGGATTTGTAACTGGCTGACTGACCGAACCCAAAGGGTGCTCATCAATGGTTCCTCTTCATCCTGGAGAAGAGTGACTAGTGGGGTGCCACAGGGTTCTGTCTTGGGCCCGGTCTTATTCAACGTCTTTATCAACGACTTGGATGATGGACTCAAGGGCATCCTAATCAAATTTGCAGATGACACCAAACTGGGAGGGGTGGCTAACACCCCAGAGGACAGGATCACACTTCAAAACCACCTTGACAGATTAGAGAACTGGGCCAAAACAAACAAGATGAATTTTAACAGGGAGAAATGTAAAGTATTGCACTTGGGCAAAAAAATGAGAGGCACAAATACAAGATGGGGACACCTGGCTTGAGAGCAGTACATGTGAAAAGGATCTAGGAGTCTTGGTTGACCACAAACTTGACATGAGCCAACAGTGTGACGCGGCAGCTAAAAAGGCCAATGCAATTCTGGGCTCCATCAATAGGAGTATAGCATCTAGATCAAGGGAAGTAATAGTGCCACTGTATTCTGCTCTGGTCAGACCTCACCTGGAGTACTGTGTCCAGTTCTGGGCCTTCATTGAAGAAGTCTTTATCGGTCCTGAATCTTCTGATGTTCAGCTTCCTAGGATATCCTTGAGTTCTTCTCTCTCGCCATTTTCTCCAAGCCATGAAGTTTGGCAAACTTCTACCATGCCATAAGAGCCAGGCAGCAAGGCCAATGGTGATGGCAGATGGACTCCAAAAAACATCTCGATGACCATAGCTTCCCCACTCCATCAAGATGCAAGCAATAGGCAGGAGGACATTGCAGGCTAGCTGCATTTGGCTCCTGCCTGTGAACTGTTTCTGTCCCAGCAGGTCTTTGCAAGAACTCCTATATAACCTCAAGAGCTTAGTACCGGAGTCGGCTTGTTTTCCTCCTCCCTCCCCCTCCATTTCTCCTTTGGTGCTGTGCCTTTTATATCATAAGCCTGTGGGTAGGATTCTACTTCACTTCAGTCTTCTTAGGAAAACCTTTTTTTTTCTGACGAAGGGTGGGGTGAAAATGTTTAAATCCTTGATCTAAATCTGTTTTATTGTTTGCCAAGAAAATTATGTGTCTATGGTTATTTTTGTAATTTGTGTGTAATTTGGTATTTGTGTTTTTGTGTGTGTTTTTTTCTTGTTGTATAAATAAATAAATAAAAAATCCTTGATCTAAATTAAAGTAAATTATTCTTGCTTATACTTAATAAGTAATAATTTCTGCTTATGGGGGGGTCTCTCCTTATTTCTCTTTTGTGTGTGTGTGTGTGTGTGTGTGTGTGTGTGTGTGTGTGACTGTCTTTCTTTATTAGTTGTATCTGGTCTTGTACTGCTTTCATTCATGTTTTCCAAAAGTCTGCAAACAGTTTTTCTCCCTTGAAACGCGGCCTATAAATACTGTAAAGACATTAATAAAGAAATGTATTTGCTCTTTATCCATAACTTTCAGGCGTGTGTGTATGTGGGGACAAATAAAGGCTATTAATCTATAGAAGAATTTTTAGAGGCGGAATTGTCTTCCTTTAAAATCAATGCGGTTTAAAATTACATCTGCTATGCTGGGTTGATTAATCGTTGAAATTAATCAATTTTTAAAAGCTATTTTCACGAACAAAAAAAGGTGTCCCTGATTAATTAGTCAGCAGATCTTTCTTTTTTAAAATAAAAACTCCCTCATGTTTATTTAGCACAACCAAAAAAAAGGAAATACATAATATCAAGATGCAATAAAAATCCAATAAAATTTTAAGCAAAACATTATGCACATCTAGTCGCAGTGCACGACCCCCTCCTCTAAGCAACTCCCTCCATCCACAGGAATGGCAGGTATGTTTGCATCATTTTGTATTTTTATGTTGTGTACTGCCCTGTTATTTCCGGCTGAAGAGCAGTATGCAAATCATCATCATCACATATACATCCCTGGAATCCCATATGGAAAGGTAAAGGTAAAGGACCTCTGGTCCAGTCCAGTCAAAGGCAACTATGGAGTTGTGGCGCTCATCTCACTTTCAGGCCAAGGGAGCCGGTGTTTGTCCACAGACAGCTTTCCAGGTCATGTTGTCAGCATAACTAAACCGCTTCTGGCGCAACGGGACACCGTGACGAAAACCAGAGCGCATGGAAACGTCGTTTACCTCCCCGCCGCAGTGGTACTTATTTATCTACTTGCACTGGTGTGCTTTCGAACTGCTAGGTTGGCAGGAGCTGGGACCGAGCAACGGGAGCTCACCCCGTCGCGGGGATTCGAACCACCAACCTTCTGATCGGCAAGCCCAAGAGGCTCAGTGGTTTAGACCACAGCGCCACCTGCATCCCTATTCCCAGATGGAAAACTTGGCTGGCATGGTAAGAAAGAGGAGAATTAACCCCACAGGTGCTGCTGACACTTTTCTGCTCCAAATTGCCTTCTCCAGTCTTGCTTGCTTTCCTCTGCTCTTCCCCACTAGGTCCAGTTGGAAAAGATTGCAAAGTCCTTGGGGCAGGGACCTGATGCTCTTACATTTCGCAGAGTGCTGCATGCACTGATGCCTCCACATAAGCAGGAATCATTACTTATTAAGTATAAGCAAGAATAATTTACTTTAATTTAGATTGAGGATTTAAACATTTTCACCCCACCCTTCGTCAGAAAAAAAAGGTTTTCCTAAGAAGACTGAAGTGAAGTAGAATCCTACCCACAGGCTTATGATATAAAAGGCACAGCACCAAAGGAGAAATGGAGGGGGAGGGAGGAGGAAAACAAGCCAACTCCGGTACTAAGCTCTTGAGGTTATATAGGAGTTCTTGCAAAGACCTGCTGGGACAGAAACAGTTCACAGGCAAGAACCAAATGGAGCTAGCCTGCAATGTCCTCCTGTCTATTGCTTGCATCTTGAAGGGATGGATCCTGCTTAGGTGACAGCAGAGAGAGGTTTTGGATGCAGCTATCCCAGGGGTAGGCAACCTAAGGCCTGTGGGCCGGATGCGGCCCAATCGCCTTCTCAATCCGGCCCACGGACAGTCTGTGAATCAGCGTGTTTTCACATGAGTAGAATGTGTGCTTTTATTTAAAATGCATCTCTGGGTTATTTGTGGGGCATAGGAATTCGTTTTTTGTTTTTTCCCCAAAATATATTCCGGCCCCTCACAAGGTCTGAGGGACGGTGGACTGGCCCCCTGCTGAAAAAGGTTGCTGACCCTTGAGCTAGACTCTCTGCAGCTAATGGAGGAGGTCTGGCCTGCTCCCCTTCTGATCTGTGACCCTGTAGAATGGCAGGTTGTTAATATGCAGCCTACTCTATAGAGACTGGGGATGGGAATTCCCCTTTGTGGTGCTGTGAATCGTCTTCCTACCTTCACCACTTGGTAGAGCAAATTTTGCAAGGTGGGGTTTTTTGCGGGGGGGGGGGGGGTCGGCAATTTGCACCAATTTAAAAAATCGATTTGCCCAGAAGGTTTTGATTCTATTGGCATTTGATTACCTTTTTTTTCTTATAGCTTTTTCCTATTTTAATCTGTGTTAAATAATTTTTAACGATCATAATCTGTAAACTGCGTGGAGTCCCAGTCTGGGGCAGGGCCAGATTTAGGTTTGATGAGGCCTTAAACTACTGAAGGTAGCTTTTTATGTCCAGCTGTCCTTTGTCAACAACAAATTGTCGCTGTTTTTTGTGTTGAATATATGCTATATAATTTATGGACCTGATAGGTCCATATACACAACACAAACACTGTTGCTGTATGTAGGTTTTATTTCATTTTTTTATCTTATATTTTGGAAATGCACATCCAGGGTTTTTCCCCCCTTTAAATTCTTTTGCGACCCCCAAAAGAGTGGGGCCCTAAGCTATAGCTTGTTTAGCTTATTATAGTAAATCCGGCACTGACTCTGGGGGAAAGGCGAGCGCAAATGAATCTAACACTAAAGAGACGCCAGACCACGAGAAAAGCGAAGCGAAGGAAGCCCCGCTCCACGCGGCTTGCACGCTGCGCGGATCGGAGAAGGCGTTTTGGACATGCTCAGAGGCCCCCTCGCCTTTCTCGGCTTCGGCTCCGCCCAGGAGGGGGAGGAGAAAGGCGATCTGAAGAAGAGGAGAAGGAGGCGGCGCCGGAGAAAGAGCGAGGGAGGCGGGTTTCCGCTGCGTAAAGAGAAGCGCGGCCGGCGCGGCGGAGGGTGCGCATCGGAGTCGGAGCGGACTCGGTCTCGTTTCCCTTCCCGGCTTCCCTCGCCTTCCCAGCCCGGGCTGCGCAGGAGAAGCCTCGGTCTGCGGCCCCGATCGCGGGGACGAGGCCGCGCGGCGCTCCCGGAGCCGAAGAGTCCGGCGCGAGTCCACCGGCTGAGTCCCGGGGCGCGCTCGGCGGCCCCCTCGCCAGCTCTCCAGAGGCGCACGCGTTTGGCTAACCCCCGCCCCCCAAATCCTAGGTAGGTGCAACGGCGAAAGAGCAAATCTGCAAAACAGTCCGCGGGTTGGCGTTGCAAATGGCTAAAAATCCCAGGCCGTCATTGTATCATTCTATAAATGTCTAGGAAGGCGCAACATCCTGGAGGAAAAGGGAAGAAGCAGCTCTCGAAACAGCGCTCCGCCTCCCGACCAGCTTCCTTGCAAACTGCTAGGATTAACTCCGCAGATGCTAAAATTCTAAGTAGGCGGTAAAAAGAAAGAAAGAAAGAGAACCAGCAACTCCTCCTTCCAGGTTGCCTTGCAAACTATAAAAGTGGTGGTGAGAAAGCTCTACTCCGGTGTAGCCAGCCCACAGGATCCGGCCTTCTTTGCCCCCCAGTCCCACGTGGAATCATTGCCCTGGCTAGAAGGTCCCAAGTCTGTTCCCTAGGGAACGCTTTTCTCAGAGATAAACTGAAAAAGCACTTCTCAGGGTTGTACAGGCCTAGTGGACTTGCCTAAAGAAACAGGTTTTTAGCAGGTGCTGAAAGGAGTTCAGAGAAGGCAGCGATGTTGTGTTCATCAGCTGCACAGTGTCAATAGGCCCTGCCAAAGTGTATGTTGCTGCCACACTAAAAGATTGGTTTCTTGCAAATGCAGATCGGCTGTTCTGTGGCACCGCGTAACAGTGCTAGGTCTGCAGTTTGAAGCTGTCAAGGGTGTAAACTGGCTCCACGTCACTAAGGGCGTTATATACTAATAGTCAGTGTTAGAAACTCAGATATATAATAACCTAGGCGCCAAATGGCTCCCAAAACCAGGGTTACAGTCATCAAAACAGAATACCTCATTGCCATTTTTGAGCAAAAAGGCTTGATAGTTGTATTTTTCAATACGACTTTTTGCTTCCGGAAATTCGTTCTGATTGTGTAGATAAAATATCACCAGTAGAATTCTAGAAGATGTGTTGCTAGTGTGTGAAAATAGTCAAGATCCAAGGATCCGCAGGTTTGCACCTCCACATGGTGATGATGTAATTATTTATTTATTTATTTTATTTATACCCCGCCCATCTGGCTGGGTTTCCCCAGTCACTCTGGGCAGCTCCCGACAGAATATTAAAAACACGATAAAGCATCAAACATTAAAAACTTCCCTAAACAGGGCTGCCTTCAGATGTCTTCTAAAAGTCAGATAGTTGTTTATTTCCTTGACATCCGAAAGGAGGGCATTTCACAGGGCGGGCGCCACCACCGAGAAGGCCCTCTGCCTGGTTCCCTGTAACTTCGCTTCTTGCAAGGAGGCAACCACCAGAAGGGCCTTGGAGCTGGACCTCAGTGTCTGGGCTGGACAATGAAGGTGGAGACGGTCCCTCAGGTATTCTGGGCCAAGGCTGTTTAGGGCTTTAAAGGTCAGCACCAACACTTTGAATTGTGCTCGGAAATGTACTGGGAGTCAATGTAGGTCTTTCAAGACCGGTGTTATGTGGTCTCTGCGGCCGCTCCCAGTCCCCAGTCTAGCTGCCGCATTCTGGATTAATTGCAGTTTCCGGGTCACCTTGAAAGGTAGCCCCACGTAGAGCACATTGCAGTAGTCCAAGCAGGAGATAACCAGAGCATGCACCACCAGAGCTGGACCTCCGTGTCCTGACTGGACAATGGGGGTGGAGACGCTCCTTCAGGTATACTGGGCCAAGGCCATTTTGGGCTTTAAAGGTCAGCACCAACACTCTGAATGTCAGGCACCATCCTGGCACCTGGGCATCGCATTTTGCACCTGGCTGATTTCAAATGCTGCTAATAGTAGCCACTTGAACCTGGACCGGTAGGAAGTCAGCAACCATTGCTGATCTTTGAGCAGAAGTATTAAATGCTCATGGGGTTTCACTCCTGCCAGCAATCTTGCTGCAGCATTTTACACTATCTGCGGCTTCTGGGCCAAGCTCAAGGGAAGCCCCATGTTGTAGGGGTCAGATGGGATTACCATGAGGAATTATAAAATATACATCAAGCCATCGTGTCCATGATGAAGACATTGTGTTGACTGGGTTTGATATATTGACGATAATTTCTGATTAAATCCCATAAGATTCTACATTCATGCCCTTTTCATGCCCTTTTGACTCTACTGCCCATTCCTCTCTTCCCCACATGTCACGTACACAGCGTACACAGCAGTTGCTTCGCCAGGCAGGCTTCCTGGGCCATAAAGATAGTAGGCAATTTTTTTGATGTAGTTTTCTTATATATAATCTTAAAATGTTAATCTTGGAGCCAGGAAACAGATCTCACATGAAGGTGGTAGTGATCTGGTCCGCCTGGCCATCCTTCTTATCATGTGTACTGATTGTTTATGACCTCCGGGGTTGCTGTATTCGCTCCTTTGTAGTATTCATTCATTTACCCCAAAAGTATGCATGGATAACTAGTGTTTATAGTTTAACTTCGTCCCCACTTGAGGTTTGTTTGAATGCTCAGAAGAAATCTGATTGGTTCTTACGAACACTCTGTAAAAAGCTTTTTTGTGAATAAAAACGGCCTGGGCCAGGGGCTGCACATCGGACAGGCACAGAGAGACACGATTATACACACCCTTCCCAGAGTCTTGCTGGTTCAAGTCTCTGTGTATTCTTATTAATCAGAGTTCAATCCTTCCTTTACTTTGTGAACGCAACATCATGTCAGGTGTGCAGCCGCTGTTTGTTCCCTGCCGGTTGTGAGGTCCAAGCAAAATAACGTTCCCTTGTGGGTTTTGTTTTTGCCAGTTGAAAGATATCGCCATGGCCGCAAGATCCATTGTGGACTCCAAGCAGGCTGAGGAGGTGGTGCAGGGCATCCCGACCGAGGTGGTGTGCACAGCCTTCGCCAACACGATCCTGGTGGTGGTGACCCAGTACGGGAAGATGGGGACCCTCGTCTCGGTGGAGCCGAACGTGGTGGCTGACGGCATCAGCAGCCCTTTGCTCACCACAAAAGTCCTGCTTGGCAAAGATGAGGTTTGTTCATTCATTCTTTCTTCCGCAATTCTGTCCAGAAAAGCACACGGTCCCTGCCCACAGGCTTGTCAGCCTTAGTAGACACGACACAAAAGGAAAAAAGATTGGGGAGGGAAGAGGAAAACTGGAGGTTTGTTCATTCTTTCTTCCGTAATTCTGTCCAGAACAGCACACGGTCCCTGCCTGCAGGCTTATCAGCCTAAGTAGACACGACACAAAAGGAAAAAGGAATGGGGAAGGAAGAGGAAAACTGGAGCCAAATTCTTGCATACCGTTGAAGCAACCGGCTGTGCTGCATTTTCATGACAGCTGGTGGCATTTACCATTAACTGTGGTGAAAATGGGCTGCCTCTTGGGCCCCTGAGAAATATTCAGGTGACCCAAGCCTCAAGGAGGTGGCTTGGCAGGGGGTTGGACTCGATGGCCTTTGTGGTCTCTTCCAACTCTATGATTCTATGATGTCGTAAGGTAGCCCTCGGTCTCCTAGCTGAAAACTGCTAGACCACATGGAGATGTCTGGATACCAGTTTAGCAACTGACATCTCCATCTGGCAGCCTGGCGTGGCTGCAATTTTGTGCCTGTCAGCTGGTCTGTGGGGCAGCACGGCGCCAACAGACACAACTATTTTGGTGCCCTGCAAATCAGCTGGCTCGCACAGCACCCACAGAGGCAAGTCTCTTGCTGCTGCGCTGCCCCGCAGACCATTTGCTTTGTAATCTTGTAAGGAAAAAAAGTGCCTGGCATATCGCTGTGGGGACCGTAACCTCGATTTAAGGTGTCTGTGGCGATCACACAGGGTCCCCTGAAGTTTAACGGTCTATTGATCCCTGTGCCAGCACTGTGCTCGCTTCCCCGCTGCCACCAACCAGTTACTCTCTAGTAAAACACTTGAGTCCAGTCAGTTGTTAAAAGTGAACCAAAAGAAAACCAAAACAAGTTTATTTTACAAACATTAACAAGTTTATGGTTTCTCTGATAATATTCCTGTCAGTACAGTGGTGCCCTGCAAGACAAATGCCTCGCAAGAGGAAAAACTCGCTAGACGAAAGAGTTTTCCGTTTTTTGAGTCGTTCCGCAAGACGAATTTCCCTATGGGCTTGCTTCGCAAGACGAAACGTCTTGCGAGTTCTTGCGAGTTTGTTTCCTTTTTCTTAAAGCCGCTAAGCCGTTAATAGCCGCTAAGCCGCTAATAGCCGCTAATAGCCGTGCTTCGCAAGACGAAAAAACCGCAAGACGAAGAGACTCGCGGAACGGATTAATTTCGTCTTGCGAGGCACCACTGTATCTTAACTTTAGTTTCTTTACCGGCCTATACCTTCCTAACACCTTCTGGCTGATTATCTCAACTGTTTGACTGACTCCTCTTAACAAATTCTCTCACTCTCTCACACCAGACTAGCCCAACCCACAGACTTATCTGTCTCTTCCAACTCCAGACTGTCTTCTTAACAACTCTAACTAACTAAAAAAACCCTCTGTGCTTAAACCTTATACACAGTTAACTCTGCCCCCTGGGTTCCCACTGGTTAGACATTTTACAATTAGTTAACCCTTCCCCTATGAGCCCAGTATGATGTCACACACCTAGGATAGCAAACACCACAGTGCCATTTGACTCCTCGAATTTATATCTCGGTTTCTAACATGGGTTGATTTCCAGCCCCTCGTCCACATCTGTGCCAAACATCTGGCGACGCCGGTCTCTCAGGAAGCTGGGAACAAGCCGGTTCTCCTGGCGTTGGCCTTGAAGGACAAGAGCGTTGAAGGGATACGGATCCTGCAAGAGGTGATTGGCCGATGCCGGGTGTGGTGAGATCCGACCTGCAGCGTGGAAGACATCGACTCGCCAGAACTGTTTGTCTTTCCTCACTTGAGGTATTTACCTCTTTCAGATGGGCCCTGTCTTGGATGTGCCTTTCCTACAGAGACAATAGTTGTTGTTGTTGTTGTTGTTGTTGTTGTTTTAAAAAATCCAGTATAGCAGACCAAATAAGCAGGACACGAACACTGCAAAAGGTTTGCATTCGACACAGCCATCTTGCATTCCTGATCTGCGATGAGCGAGTCGGTTGCAGCGCAAAAAATTACCTCCACAAAGATCCGTTTCGAAGCTCGTCTGTTCTTGCTGGTCCTGTATGAGAGATTTGTGAGAAAGAAGTCGAAACGGCTTTTGTTATTTGTGAAACGTGTATATCACCTTCCACTCGAAGATCGCAGGGCGGTTCACAACATAAAAAAATACCATATGGGGAAACACAAAATAAATAATAAAACAGACCAATAACCCCCATCCCACAAACTCTCTTCCCCCTTAGCTGCCAAAATAGATCGTCCTCTCAATAAGTCTTTCATCTCAGTTTTCAAGGGGCTATATATGTATATGTAAATGTATATAGTTTTTCAAATTACAGTTTTACACTCGTATATCCAACATACAACAAAAACAAGATTCCAAAGAATATCCTGGACTTTCTTTTTGTGGGTCCTATTATTAATCATTTCCTCTTGCATCTTTTATAATAATACAGATCTTTTACATCTCCATTATATCCAAAATTCACCGTTAAACTACAAGTGTTATTCCAATCCTACTAACAGTTTTAACTGTTTACAGTGGTTTTTAAGATAATTTTTTTAAAAATTCCCATTCTTTATTGAAATTTTGGTCTTCCTGATTTCTGATTCTTCCACTCATTTTTGCCATTTCAGCATAATCCATCAACTTAATCTGCCATTCTTCTCTGGTCGGGACTTTATCTTCTAATAATTTTTTAATACAAATTTTTATAATTTTTTAGCTGAGAGCCAGATGGGCACTTAAGACCACAATCCTAAATACACTTACCTGAGAGTAGATTTCCACTGAGTTTAGAAGGATTTGCTTATGAGTCAGTGTGCCTAAGATTGCAATTCCAACCCATCCAGTCAAAATGGATGTTTTTGAAAGTACTTACAAACAGCTGGATTGTACCCATCTAATTTTTAATTTTATTCCTTATCAAATACATGAGTTGCATTTTTGCCACAGCAACTCAAAGCAAAAGACAAGCACGTTTTTTAAAAGTTTTTTTTTAAGTTGGTATCAAAATCCAGTTATATATTGGGCAGGAAATAGTTTGTAATGTGAAAGGGTGCTGAAGAACTTGGACCGCATCCAGACATTTTTTGAAGCTCTATGATATCACTTTGAACAGTCATTGCTTCCCTCAAAGAATGCTGGGAGTTGTAGTTTGTTCAGGGTGCTGAGAGGTGCTAAGAGATTCCGTTATTCCCCTCCCAGAGCTACAATTGCCAATGTAGTTTAACAATGAATCACTCTTCCCAGGGAACTCTGGGAATGGTCAGTGGGGGGAATAGGGGTCTTCTAGTAACTCTTTTAACAAAGTGCAACCTCTGTCAGTCAACATTCTGTGGCCTTGGATTGTTTTGGAGTTCTTTCCCTTAAGCATTTTCTTTGGTGCTCCTGCAAACTGGATTTCCTCCTTTTTTTTCTTTTCTTTTTTTGGCATGAGTGGTGATGATTTGGGGGCATAAGGAATGGCGCTCACACTCAAGACATTGGAAATAGAGGGAATAATACAGTGGTACCTTGGTTCTCAAACTTAATCCGTTCCAGAAGTCGGTTCCAAAACCAAAGCATTCCAAAACCAAGGCGCGCTTTCCCATAGAAAGTAATGCAGACTGGATTAATCCGTTCCAGGCTTTTAAAAACAACCCCTAAAACAGCGGTTTAACATGAATTTTACTATCTAACAAGACCATGGATCCATAAAACGAAAGCAATAAACAATGTACTGCAGTCACACAATCAATCAGTAGCTGAACTGGGTTCCAGACAGTCACAAAAACAAAACAAAAAAGCCGAAAAAATGCAAAATAAATAGCAAAAGCAGACAGACCTCAGTGGAACACTCAAATCAGAAGCGTAACACTCAAAACACAGCACGTTCGGCTTCCAAAGAAAGTTTGCAAACCGGAACACTTACTTCCGGGTTTACAGTGTTTGGGTTCCAAATTGTTTTGAGTACCAAGGCGTCTGAGAACCAAGGGACCACTGTACTGTGTTCTATTATTGTTAAGATGAAGAAACCATTTTCTTACAAGATACTTGGCCAACAGTTACTGTGTTTGATGCTTATTATTATAGTGCAAAGAAACTTATCAAATTGATATCCCTGTTATCTTGGTGTGGGGGCTTAGTACCATTTTCCAAATAACCGAGCTTTCCTGAATGTTCAGAGCTCCTATTTCTCCACTGGGTTGATGGATTTGCTGCGGATCTGCTGCCCTCTTGTATTGACTCCTGCAGTGATCGCTATCTGCTGCTTTCTCTGGAGTCGCTGAAAACGCTCATAAAGCAGCCCATAAAAACTCCCCGCCCTCCTAAATTTTATTTTTATTTTTGTAATATAAATTTTTATTACACCAAGTCAATAATAGCATTATTACCTCTGTTGCATTTGTCAAACGGCCAGCTTAACGACAAGCATTAAAATCCATAGAGGTGATGCATGGTATTGATGCAATGCTTAATCTCCCGACACCTCCAGTAAGTGATTGTTTTGAGTTCATGCAGGCAGACAATCTTTCCTGTTAATTTCATGGTATTGGGGGGGGAAATGCAATCTAATATCTGACATTTCCTCGCATGTTGTCTTCTCTCTCTAAAAGGAATAAGGCCACAATCCAGTACACACTGTCCCGTCAAACACAGTATTGCTTTACTTCAGAGTAGACACGTATACAGTGGTCCCTTGGTTCTCAATCTTAATCCGTTCCAAAACCAAAGCGTTCCAAAACCAAGGCACGCTTTCCCATAGAAAGTAATGCAAGATGCATTGATCCATTCCAGACTTTGAAAAATAACCCCTAAAACAGCAATTTAACATGAGTTTTACTATCTAACGAGACCATGGATACATAAAATGAAAGCAATAAACAATGCACTGCAATCACACAATCAATCAATCAGTAGCTGAACTAGGTTCCACACACAGACCTCAGCGTGGCACTCAAAACAGAGCATGTTCCGCTTCTGAAAAAGGTTTGCAAACCGGAACACTTACTTCTGGGTTTGCAGTGTTTGGGTTCCAAGTTGTTTGAGTACCAAGGCATTTGAGAACCAAGGTACCACTGTATAGGATTGTGCTGCCTAGTCCCCAGTTCTTCAAGACACATCCCAGAATAATGCCTCTGTTTAGGGCTTTAAATACTAATGTGAGCATCTTGAATTGGGCCTGGAAGTGCACTGGCAACCTATGCAACTGTTTTGAAACATGGGGTATATGAAATCCGGAAGGAAATCCCAGCTAGCAATCTGGCCGCTGCATTTTGGACCAGTTGGAAGTTTCCAAGCTGTCTTCAAGGGCAGCCCCACGTAGAGCGCATTGCAGTAATCCAGCCTGGAAGCTGCCATGGAGCATGGAATACAGTAGCCAAATCATCTCTGTCCAAAATAGCCGGAAACAGGTATTGCAGTGATAACACTGGATCCAGGAGTAACCCCAAGACACGAACCTGCTCCTTCCAGGAGAGACCAACCTTACCAGTTGCATCTTGCTCCCAGTTATGTACGCAGAGAGTAGCAGCCAGACAGCACAATCCTGATCATGGCTACTTAGAAGTGAGTCATCCTGATTTCAGTGGAGTTTACTCCCAGGTAGGAGGAGTTTGGATTCCAGCCTTAATGATTACACTGGGAAACAAAATTTTTGTTGCATTGACACCTGCAGTTGTTCTAACCTAATTTCGACGTGCTGATTTCATATCTGAAGTTGGTTTTGTTCTGTAAGCTCTAGTTTTTCTGCAATTCATGTTTTTCACTTTTCACCATAATCTTTGTTTTTCACAATACAAGAATTCAATATTTTATTAAACACATAGCCAAAGTAGTACAATATGAATATAAATGTGACTTATATAGCATTGAAAATGACATGTATATCTATGTACAGTTGAAGGTATGCAAAAAAATGTATTCCCTTGGGATACACAGTATAAAAGGTAAAGGTAAAGGGACCCCTGACTATTAGGTCCAGTTGTGACCGACTCTGGGGTTGCGGTGCTCATCTCGCTTTATTGGCCAAGTGAGCCAGCGTACAGCTTCCGGGTCATGTGGCCAGCATGACTAAGCCGCTTCTGGCGAACCAGAGCAGCACACGGAAATGCCGTTTACCTTCCTGCCAGAGCGGTACCTATTTATCTACTTGCACTTTGAGGTGATTTCGAACTGCTAGGTTGGCAGGAGCAGGGACAAAGCAACGGGAGCTCACCCCGTCACGGAGATTCGAACAGCCAACCTTCTAACCGGCAAGTCCTAGGCTCTGTGGTTTAACCCACAGCGCCACCCGCGTCCCTTCTATACACAGTATACTGAGCAACATTTTAATTTTTTTTCATTTTCTGTTGCATGAGATTTCCTCCCAGTGTTATTTTCAGGTGGCTCTCCATCCCAGAAGCTGGGAGTAGACTTCAACTCCGTCTCCCCTGCAGCGTGCAATTGCGCCTCACCCGAAGATTAAATATTGCAACTCGCTTGGAAAACGGAGACGCCATAATCACTGTTGTCACTCTGCCTTCCGAGGCTGCAGAGGGACCCAAAATCTGGCAGCCTCTTTTGGGCAGCTGATGCGTCCAGATGCAGTCAATTAAACGGGTGTTTTATGGCGCCTCTGCAAGTTACAAATTGGACAAGCGATTGCCAGGAAGGAATTATGTGGCACCTAAGCGTCCATCACCGCGCCGTAGCAGCGCCGTAATTCAGGCTGAGATGTGTGCGAGGCATAGAAAAGCAGGCCCATCGATCTGACGGTCTCTGCAAGGCAATCTGTCACCTCGCTGGTTCTCTGAAAGTGGTGGCTTTGGGATGCGTTCCGAATGCCGGGAGAACCGTTGAGGTTATGCAGTGATCATGATCGACAGGTGAAGTGGGAGCCTGCTCTGCATCTTGACACAAGCGTAAGGGGAGCCTGCTGGATCAGGCCCATGGCCCGTCTCGTCCAGCATGCTGTTCACACACAAGCAGGATCTGAGCACAAGATCAACACACTTCTGGGGCTTCCAGCAACTGGTGTTCAGAAACATTACAACCTCCAAGTTTGGAGGCAAGGCAGCAGAGCCATCATGGCTGGGGGGTGTCGCTAAGCCCTCTCCTCTATGAATTTGTCTAATAATAATAATAATAATATTTATTTATAGCTACTAGCTCTTGTGTGGGACAAGGGTGGCGCTGTGGGTTAAACCACAGAACCTAGGGCTTGCTGATCAGAAGGTCAGCGGTTCGAATCCCTGTGACGGGCTGAGCTCCCGTTGCTTGGTCCCTGCTCCTGCCAACCTAGCAGTTCGAAAGCACGTCAAAGTGCAAGTAGATAAATAGGTACCGCTCCGGCGGGAAGGTAAACAGTGGTTCCGTGTGCTGCTCTGGTTCACCAGAAGCGGCTTAGTCCTGCTGGCCACATGACCTGGAAGCTGTACGCCAGCTCCCTCGGCCAATAAAGCGAGATGAGCGCCGCAACCCCAGAGTCGGCCACGACTGGACCTCATGGTCAGGGGTCCCTTTACCTTTACCTTACTAGCTCTTGTGCTTGGGTCCTGCCTGCAGGATTCCCACAGGCATCCGGCTGACCACTGTGAGAACAGGATGCTGATTCCTGGGACAGCTCAGTCGGTAGAGTACGAGACTCTGAATCTCATGGGTTTGAGTCCTGCATTGGGCAAAAGATTACTCTCATGGTCCCTTCCATCTCTGTGATTCTGTGACTAGATGAATCATTGGCCTGATCTAAAAGGCTCTCATATTCATACAGTGGAACGTCGGTTTTTGAACGTCTCGGCTGCCGAATGTTTCGGAAGCCGAACACCGAAAACCCGGAAGTGAATGCTTCTGTTTTCGAATGCACCTCGGAAGTCGAACGGCTTCCACAGCACTTTTTTTTTCTATTTTCACCATTCACTTTGCTGACAACCCTCTGATTTTCGAACATTTCGGAAGTTGAACGGACTTCCGGAACGGATTACATTTGAATACCGAGGTTCCACTGTAATCATTACTTCAGAAATCACCGGAGAGGATTTTAAGGAGAAATTTGGGGAGCAAATCTGTTGAACAAGGGAAATAGCAAGTTACACTCAGTAGGCTGTAAGTTCTTTTGCTTGGGAAGCTGTCTCACACTCCAGAGCACAGCTGTCTCCCTTCAGTGCTGTCCAATAATGAAGATGTCCCAGTAGCAATGAAATCCATTTAAATTTCACTGGAACATCAATTCAGATGTCCTCACAATTAAGCACTCAAACAATGAGGACTAGGTCCTTGCTTTTGGCAATGGTTTGGATTCTTTGGCATCCAAATATGATGCAGAGATGCAACCTACTTGGATGATGCAGAGATGCAACCCACTTTTTATTAGACACCAAGTGCCAGGAGGTAGGTCTACTATATGCTTAATGCCTTTCCCAAGAAGAGTATCTTGAGAAGGCGGGGTGGGGGGTGGGGGACTGGAACAGCAAGTCTGGCTTCCTGTGAAACATCAAAGCAGGAGAAAGGAAGAGGGGATGGAGCAAGGTGTAATCAGCAACAGAAAACTGAAGGCAGGAGGAAGTACAGTAAATGGCAGTCAGCAGGTTTCTTTCTCTGCTGCCAGTCAGTGCTGGTAATTACTGAGCAAGAAGGAATAATGGTCTGACTTGGTACAAAACAGCTCCCTTTGTTCCTAAACTGTTTGCCCTCTCGCACAGCCCTGGAACTGGCTGGGCAGGGGTAGGGTTGGGGAGCCAAAGAAGCTGATTTGTGGTAGGCTCAGAATGGACAGAATAAAGCACTTCTTTACATATATATATATATATATGGCATTTCCAAAATTAAAGCTGCGTCCTCTTCAAACTTATCTCACAGGAATGCTACTGCAAACAAACACATTTCAAAGAACTTCTTGTCCTGTTATTCACTCACTGAACAAGCCCACTCTCCTGTAGAAATTATTCTGAATTGCAGCATCTGTAAATCCAAGGTTTTTCAGTGGTTAAAAATAATTAATACTATATGTTTAAACCACATTTAAAACACATGGCTTTCTCCCAAGGAATCCTGGGAAGTGTAGTTCCACACAGAATTACAATTCCCAACATCCTGAACAGTTCCCAGGAGTCTGGTGTAAGTCATATGCATTCAATGTGCATTGGCTGAGCTTTAAATATACCATATGGAGCGGCCCCTTGTCAGCTCACAGCTCCAACCAGACCCCCTTCTTGCCCAACATTGTTCACACAGATCAGCTGTGTGCCTTGCCACCTAAGTCAGCCAGTATGCTATACTAGCAAGAGCGTTGCCTTAAAACTTGATAGGTAAAGGTAAAGGGTAAAGGGACCCCTGACCATTAGGTCCAGTCGTGGCCGACTCTGGGGTTGCGGTGCTCATCTCACTTTATTGGCCGAGGGAGCCGGCATACAGCTTCCGGGTCATGTGGCCAGCATGACTAAGCCACTTCTGGTGAACCAGAGCAGTGCATGGAAACGCTGTTTACCTTTCCGCTGGAGCGGTACCTATTTATCTACTTGCACTTTGACGTGCTATCAAACGGCTAGGTTGGCAGGAGCTGGGACCGAACAATGGGAGCTCACCCCGTCACGGGGATTCGAACTGCCAACCTTCTGATTGGCAAGTCCTAACCCACAGCGCCACCCACGTCCCCAAGAAAACTTGATAGACCAGGGTTCAAATCCCCACTCGGCCATTAAGCTCCCTGGCTGACCTTCTGCCTATCACAGTCTACCTCGCAGGGTTGTTGTGCGAGGATAAAATGGTGGCGGGAGGAGAGTTATGTGTGCCACTTCGATCAACTTGGAGGCATGGTAAAAAAAGAAGAAAACAACAAATAAGCAACAATTGTCTCCTCCTGCCTTCGCCCCGGACTTGACTCATCCAGGAAATGTGGAGAGAATCGCCACCCCCGTCTTGGCCGGGCTCTCCGTTCCGTGCGCACCTGCGCCAGGTGCGGCTGGGAAGGGAAGCAGGCGGCGCCGCGGAAGGAGCGCCCAGGTGCCGGGCGACGTTTAGGGGCCATCTCCAGGGAGACGCGCAAACAGCAAAGGCCGGCGAGGCTGGGACTGAGCAGGAGGGAGGAGGAGGAGAAGGAGGAGTCTCTGGGGAAAGGAAGCCAGGTGGAGGTACGGCCGAGGGAGGGCTCTCCGGGGCCGGATGGGACGAGAAGAGGAAGCAGCCGCGCTGGGAAAGCGCCGCGCTTCCTGGAGCTGCGCCTCCGCCCGTGCGCTCCTGTTGCGCGCCGGACGCCGGTGAGTAAGGGGGCGCGCGGCCGGGAGGAGGAGGAGGAGGAGGAGAAAGAGACCTTCCTGGCCCAAGGGGCAGGTGGGGCGAGAGCGGCCCTAGAGAGAGAGATCTCGGCCGGTCTGGGCAGAAAAAGAAGCAGGCAGGTCCCCAAACGAGGCTGCCCCTCTTTAGCCCAAACTTGGAAACGCGCAGCGCTCCTTGGAGACGTTTGGCAAGTTCCATGGGAAACGGGAAGTTTTCTTTTGATTGTTGACGTTTCTGTAGCAGAGCCAGCTGGGGGCGTTGGTTTACTTTTGGGGATTCAGTTATAGCCCACCTGTTGTTCCAAGCGGCGTCCGTGGTTCTCTCCTCATTTGATCCTCACAACAAACCTGTGAAGTAGACCGGGTGTCTGTGGCAGGTCCGAGGGTCACCCACTGAGCTCACGGCCAAGTTTGTGCATTTGAACCCTGGGCTTCCAGGCCCCAGCAGTCGGGGACACTAATCAGTAAAACCACCGTGGTTCTCATGTTATTCCTCTCCCTCTCTTTCTGACAACCAGCAGTGTGTAAGGCCAGTCACCCCATCTGCATGGATTTCTATGCCACATGATCCCCCTTAAGTCTCCCCAGCCCTGCTTTCTACTCAAACTGGCTTTCCGATCTAATTTATCATAGCCTATAGATCTCAGTGGAGGCTGGCCCTTTCAGAAGAAGGGGACATTGCCCCACCAGCCTCAACTCGCCACCTCTGTCTTCCTGCTTACAACCAGTTCAGGGAGTCGCACAAGCTGTCAACCTACTCCTCCTCCATCTCAACATTGCCCTTACAGAGGAGGAGGATAGGGATAAAATTAGAATTACATGGCTCTCTAGCGCCACCTACTGCTGGGCTGCCTTGCCTCCCCCACCCCAGGCCTATGGGGCGCCAGTTGTCACTGGTCCCATCTTTTCCACAAGCAACTAGCTTTATGAGGATGCAGCCGCCAAAAGTTTGTTTGTGTTGACATGTGCGCTTTCAATCCTAAAAACACTTGATATTTTTAGAGTTCTTGGAGAACTTTGGGAGTGTGGCTTTTGTTTTTAGAACAGAAATAGTATACCAACAGCACTACTTTTATTTTATTTTTTAAATGCAACACACAACAGAACTTGAGTATCAAAAGGTGAAATAATTTCTTTATATATAAAGTTGCTGTAGCATTTGTTCTGGATGTTAAATTCATTGTTTACCTTTGTTATTAAGTTGGTTGGGTTTGCCTGCAAGGAAAAAGCAGGGTATATACAGTGGTACCTCGGGTTAAGTACTTAATTCATTCCAGAGGTCTAGTCTTAACCTGAAACTGTTCTTAACCTGAAGCACCACTTTAGCTAATGGGGCCTCCTGCTGCTGCCGCACCACTGGAGCACGATTTCTGTTCTTATCCTGAAGCAAAGTTTTTAACCCGAGGTACTATTTCTGGGTTAGCGGAGTCTGTAACCTGAAGTGTCTGTAACCAGAGGTACCACTGTATTTGTTTTTAAAAAACACAGCAGTGCAAAACTCTTGTTTTGAGAGCTAAGTTAGACACCATAAGAGTAGAAAGAAGAACCTGCTGGATCCGGCCAATGGCCCACCTGGTCCAGTATCCTGTTCTCACAGTGGCTAACCAGATGCCCCTGTGGGAAATGCTCAAGCAGGACTCGAACCCAAGACCCCTCTTCCCTCCTGTGGCTTCCAGCAACTGGTATTCAGAAGCATTGCTGTCTCTGACTGTGGAGACAGGGCAGAGCTATCCTGACTAGCAACCACTGAGAGCCTTATCCTCCATGAATCTGTCTGCTCCTCTTTTAAAGTCATCCATCTTGGCAGCCATCACTGTCTCCTGAGGAAGTGAGTTCCATAGTTTATGCAGTACATGAGGAAGTAAACCACCTGAGTTTAAAAACCAAAGTCTGGCACTTGAAGCCCAATCCGACTCAGATGTAAATCCTCCCCACCCCCCGGCAGCTCTCTGAGGCTTAAAGGTAAAGGGACCCCTGACCATTAGGTCCAGTTGTGACCGACTCTGGGGTTGCGGCGCTCATCTCGTTTTATTGGCCAGGGAGCCGGCGTCCAGCTTCCGGGTCATGTGGCCAGCATGACTAAGCCGCTTCTGGTGAACCAGAGCAGCGCACGGAAACGCCGTTTACCTTCCCACAGGAGCAGTACCTATTTATCTACTTGCACTTTGACGTGCTTTCGAACTGCTAGGTTGGCAGGAGCTGGGACTGAGCAACGGGAGCTCACCCCGTCGCGGGGATTCGAACCGCCGACCTTCTGATCGGCAAGTCCTAGGCTCTGTGGTTTAACCCACAGCGCCACCTGCATCCCAATAGGCTTACTCATAGGTAAATGTAGTCCTAAATTATGAAGTCCGCCCTCAGTCGTGTTAAATTGAATTTCAGCATTCTGTATGAAGAAATATTTTAGGTTCTGCAGGCAGCTTTCATTCGGGAGGAAGCAATGGCCGTCTTCTATAAAGCTGTGCGAACATAAGGGTTTAAGCACGGAAAGAGGTAATTAATTTATGTTAAATGATATTTAGGTCCCAGTCCTGATATCTTTCACTGAAGAAAGAAGGGCAGCTCATTAAACACCCTTTAATATGCTAGCCATCTGCTTGTAGTTGATTAATTCACAGATTGAACATGAAGAATATGTTATCTTGATGCAGGTGCCACTTTGAGGCTCTCTAATAAAATTAAGGGTTTTTGGAATAAAATTAAGCAGGTGAATTAATTTATCCCCTCGAGAAGTGTTTCAGCATTGTCTGAATTGAGTGGCGTATATAAGATGTTTTGAAAAATCCGTGTAAGGGCTTTGGGGGGCTTAATCCAAAGGAAATTGTGTATGCCTTAGGCTGCGCATTCAAGATGTACTTAACTGAAAAGTCAGCCCCATGGGAACCAGCAGCATTTGCTTCTGAGTAAACACGTTTTGAGGCTTGATTCCAGTCTCCTTGGTTTCAGTGGCGCTTGGTTCTAAAGATATGTTTGTGTACCACAATCCTTATTGGGTTTACCCAATAGAAAGGCACACTGATTTCAGCTGCGTTGAGGAAGTCTGGTTTGAAGATGGCACCATGATGCTTCAAAACATGGCTTTAAATGAGACTTGGAAGAGGGTGCACGTAAACTTTCTGTTGTTGTTTTTTTTTAATAATATTTATTACTTTCCAACAATTTGGACATTACATAGAAAAAGAAAATAAACAATACAATACAATACAAAAACAATACCTAACACTAAACTAACAAAAACAATTTAAACTAAGAAAACAAAACAAAAACAATTTAAAACACACCAAATAATTTCAATCTTTCATTCACTTATTTCCATGACCTCCTCACACCTCCCTTTTTGTATTCCACTTCTATTAGTTGTTTCAGCAATTCCTTTCCATCTTCCTCTGCTTTCTATCCTATAATTATCTTAACACATTTTAACCTTGTTTTTCCCTTTAATTCTCTATTAATCTATTTATACTTAATTCCTTATAACATTTCTACTTAAGCCATATAACTTCATTCCAACATTTTTCTAACATTCATTAATTTTACAATATTTCTGTAAATAGTCTTTAAACTTTTTCCAATCTTCTTCCACCGACTCTTCTCCCTGGTCTCGGAGTTCTGCCAGTTGTTTCCGCCAATTCCATATAGTCCATCAACTTCATCTGCCACGTAAACTTTCTGAAGCCTAAGTTATACTCTTGGAGCTGGCATGGCCCACCGGGGCTGTGCTCTGTGTCTTTCATCCAAACCCTCCAAAAAAGAATGCTTTAAAAAACTTTTCTTATAGGGATCCCTGGCATGCTGTGAAGTGCACTGCTAATGAGATCCCAGCTACCTTCTGCTCTGAATTCGCTCAAAAAAAAAACCCTACATTTGCCTCTGTTTGTATAAATTGACCTGTGCAAATCTGTGATAAGGGGCTGTGCCCCAGGTTTTTAAGAGCCCGGAAACACTGGCTTGCCTTCAAGTCCAGGGACAAGAGCTGAGCGATTTCCTTAGCGTCAGCTGAAGGTACAAAGCTGCCTGCTGTCAAGACAGACCATTGCTCTGTTGGGCTCAGTATACTCTGCTCTGGCTGGCAGCAGCTCTCCTGGATTTCGGGCAGACAGAAATGTCTTCCCTGCTGCCTTGGACCTGAACCTTTCAGCTGGCAGTTCCAGGGACTAAGAGCAGATCCACAGCATGTATTTAAAGCATTTAATAATAATAATACAGTCATACCTTATGTTACGTCCGCTTCATGTTACGTTCTTTCAGGTTACGTCCCGCGGTGACGCAGACGCACAAAATGATGTCAAGCGCATGCGCAGAAGCAGTGAATTGCAACCCGCGCGTGCATACCCACTGCGGGTTGCGTTCTTTTCATGTTGCGAACGGGCCTCCAGAACGGATCCCGTTCACAACCAGAGGTACCACTGTAATATAATAATAATAATAATAATTTATTTATACCCCGCCCATCTGGCTGGGTTTCCACAGCCACGCTGGGCAGCTTCCAACAAAAGATTAAAAATACATTAAAACTTCCGTCATTAAAAACTTCCCTAAACAGGGCTGCCTTCAGATGTCGTCTAAACGTCAGATGGTTGTTTATTCCTTTGACATCTGATGGGAGGACGTTCCACAGAGCAGGCGCCACCACCGAGAAGGCCCTCTGCCTGGTTCCCTGTAACTTCACTTCTCGCAGTGAGGGAACCACCAGAAGGTCCTCGGCGCTGGACCTCAGTGTCCGGGCAGAACGATGGGGGTGGAGACGCTCCTTCAGGTATACTGGACTGAGGCCATTTAGGGCTTTCAAGGTCAGCACCAGCACTTTGAATTGTGCTCGGAAATGTACTGGGAGCCAATGTAGGTCTTTCAGGACCGGTGTTATATGGTCTCGGCGGCCGTTCTCAGTCATTGTTGTTGTTGGGTTCTTCAACGTGGGAAGGTAGTCATCTAGGAGAAGGACAACTCTGATCCTAAACCTGTGCTGCCTTGCGGGACATAATGAGGAGAAGAAAAGACTAGGGAGTAAACTCTACGCAAATCTGGAGCGGTATCCCTAAGACTGTTGGATGGCACCTTGTACTCCTCCTTCTGGCAACTCCTGCAGCCCAGCTGGTGCCAAATGTCTTGCTCTGCTTTCCTTTGGACCACATCAGTGAGGCTGAGAGGGGGTCTTGTCGTCTGGGCAGCCCAGGACCTCCAGACACACTGCCCAGGCTTGCGCCCCAGGGAGCTCACTTTAGTGTTGCAAACGCAGCAGTTTGACTTCACCCCCGAAGGCGCACTCCATTGTCTTTCGAGACAGACAGATGCCCACAACATTACTATTACTGCTTATTAACCCGCCCTTCACCCTAAGGCCCCAGGGCGGTGTGCAATTAAAACACAGCATGAATATTGAAACACAATAGTACACAATGCTGAGAAACAGATTAAACAACTTAAAATTGCAAAAATAATGCAGGTCTTAAAAAAACATACACCTCAAGTGTCAAAATCCTATGGCATGCAAACCCAGGTCCGCTATTATTGCAACAACTCTGCTGGTTATCTAGGCCAGGGTGGATAACCTCTGACCCTCCAGGCGCTACAGAACTATAAGTCCCACCAGCCCCAGCCTGCATAGCCAGGGCTGGTGGGAGTTGTAGTTCAGCTGCACCCAGAGGGCTGCAGGCTCACCAGCACTGATCTAGGCCCCCATCTGGCAAGTGGGAGCAGTTTCTTCCCTGCAGAAAGTGTTGGCTGGGTGATCTTGAAAGCCTGTGATGAGATGATTCTGTGCCTCGCAAGCCATCTTGTTCCTTGCAAGCGACTATTTAAAAATAATAACTGGGTGCCTTGTTCTGCATTAATCAGAGGTTGAAGGGCCCGTGCATCTGGCTCCGCCCGCTGTTCCTCTCATGGCTGCATAAGCTTTTCAACCCAAATACTCTTGGTGCACTTCCGCTGGTCAGTGCTGGCTGTGGAAGTTCTTGCTGCTTGTACTGGGAGAAGGTGTGAGGTCCCTTTGCGTTTATGGACTTGGACAAAAGCGCTCGGAAGCCCTGGTGGTGGGAGGGCAGGAGCCCTAGACTGGCAAGAATCCTCTGGACCTGCACTGCTCATATCCTGTTCCTTTCTGATATACAGTGGTACATCAGGTTAAGGACTTAATTCGTTCCGGAGGTCCGTTCTTAACCTGAAACTGTTCTTAACCTGAAGCACCACTTTAGCTAATGGGGCCTCCTGCTGCCGCTGCGCCACTGGAGCACAATTTCTGTTCTTATCCTGAAGCAAAGTTCTTAACCCGAGGTACTATTTCTGGGTTAGCGGAGTCTGTAATCTGAAGCGTATGTAACCCGAGGTACCACTGTAGCTCAGAAAGGTTGAGATTCAGTTGACATTCCTGCACTGCAGGGAGTGATAGCTCAGTGATGGCACATCATTTCTCACTTGCTGGATCATCACCTTGTCACGGCTCTCCAAAAATTTTACACATAACTTGGGAAGACAGGTGAACTCATGCCAGTGGAAGAAGCCAAGATCACCCGTGTCAAAGCGATGATTCTTCAACATCAACTTTGTTGGACTGCTCATGTTGTGCGGATGCCTGATGATCGTCTTCCAAAGCAACTACTCTATTCCAAACTTAAAAATGGAAAGCGTAATGCTGGTGGTCAACAAAAGAGGTTTAAAGACTCTCTCAAGGCAAATCTAAAAAAAATGTAGTACAGTCATACCTCGTGTTTGTTTGCTTCAGGTTGAGCATTTTCAGGTTGCGTCCTGCAGCAACTTGGAAGTACCGGAAGGGTTACTTCCAGGTTTCTCCACTTGCGCGTGCGCAGACGCGCAAAATGACGTCATGCACATGCTCAGAAGTGGCAAATCGCGACCCGCGCACGTGCAGACACGGGTTGCGTTCTGCTCTGGTTGCGAACGGTGCTCCAGACCGGATCCCGTTCGCAACCAGAGGTACCACTGTATAAACACAGACAACTGGGAAACACTGGCCTGCGAGCACTCCAGTTGGAGAACAGCCTTTACCAAAGGTGTCATGGACTTTGAAGACACTCGAACTCAGAACGCAAGGGAGAAATGTGCTAAGAGGAAGACATGCTTGGCAAATCCTCACCATGATCAGCTCACGCCCGGAAACCTATGTCCCCCTGTGGAAGGATGTGTGGATCCAGAATTGGCCTCCACAGTTGCTTATGGACTCATTGTTAAGACTGTGTTTATGGAAGACAATCTTACTCGACTAGGAGTGATCGCTGAAGAAGGAGAAGAAGGAGGAGGAGGAGAAGAAGAGCACATCATTTCCATGGGACCAAAGATGTAGTTCGTTGTGTCACTGATGGTGTGTCCTATGGAACACAACAGGCGCAACAGCAGAAAATGCTTTTTGGTGGGTCACTGTCATGCAGTGGTCTTTATCACTGTGCTGCCACCAACAAGACTTATCAGGTCATTCCTGCAATCTACCAGGTCTTTAGAAGGACAGGCAGGTGGCTTGCCAGTTAATCAGGTGCAGAGTTCTTCAGGTCTTTACCAGTGTTTGAAATTCACCAGGCCCATTTTGCAGCTGGCTATCGGCCGGTTGTGACTAAGTGAAGATGCCCCAGGGGCACCTGATGTCTCCACCATCTGGAGTCGCATGCCTGGAGATTCTTGGATCTTGATTATTTCCACACACTAGCAGCACATCCTGTAGAATTCTACCCATCATATTTTATCTGCACAATCGGAGTGAATTTCAGAAACCAGAAAGCCAGGTTGAAAAATACACCTTTCGAGCACTCTGGCTGCAAAGTGGCAAGTGGGCATTCCATTTTGGTGACTGTAACCCTGGTTTTAGGAACCATTTGACACTTAGCTTACATATCTGAGTTTCTAACGCCGGCCTTTACATACAGTCGTGCCTTGGATCCCAAACACCTTGCAAGTCGAACATTTTGACTCCCGAATGCCGCAAACCCGGAAGTGAGTGAGCCGGTTTGTGAACGTTCTTTGGGACCCAAACGTCTGATGTGGCTTCTGCGGCTTCCGATTGGCTGCTGGAGCTTCCTGCAGCCAATCAGAAGCCACGCCTTGGTTTCCGAACATTTTGGAAGTCGAACGGACTTCCGGAACGGATTCCATTTGACTTCTGAGGTACCACTGTACAGTGGTACATCTGGATGCGAACGGGATCCGTTCTGGAGCCCCGTTCGCATCCTGAAGAGAACACAACCCACATCTGCACGTTTGCGCGTGCGCTGGTTGCGATTCACTGCTTCTGCGCATGCATGTGAAGTCATTTTGAGCATCTGCGCATGCGCAAGCGGCAAAACCTGGAAGTAACGCATTCCATTACAGTGGTACCTCTGGTTACGTACTTAATTCGTTCCGGAGGTCTGTTCTTAACCTGAAACTGTTCTTAACCTGAAGCACCACTTTAGCTAATGGGGCCTCATGTTGCTGCCGTGCCACCAGAGCACGATTTCTGTTCTCATCCTATTTCTGGGTTAGCGGAGTCTGTAACCTGAAGCGTATGTAACCTGAAGCATATGTAACCCGAGGTACCACTGTACTTCCAGGTTACCACGGAGCGCAACTTGAAAACACTCAACCTGAAGCAACTTTAACCCGAGGTATGACTGTATCAGAAAGCCACCAAATGCAGGGCTCTATCTTGTCTTCTTTTAAAATAGGACTATTTAAATAAAAAAATAATTTACGCTAGTACAGTCATACCTCATGTTACATCTGCTTCATGTTACGTTCTTTCAGGTCACGTCCCGTGGCGACCCGGAAGTACCGGAAAGGGTTACTTCCGGGTTTCGCCGCTCGTGCATGCGCAGAAGTGCAAAATGACATCACGAGCATGCGCAGAGGCGGTGAATCGCAACCCACGCATGTGCAGACGCGCCACTGCGTGTTGCGTTCTTTTCATGTTGCGAAGGGGCCTCCGGAACGGATCCTGTTCTCAACCGGAGGTACCACGGTATACCTGGGAAGTCTCCCGTGTTGTGGCCTCATGTTGATAAGGCGGCTTGGCCAAGCAAAGTCAGAGGGAATTATTAACCAGGTTCCTGCTCAGGACTGGGATCTAAAATGTATACGAAGCTTAGCACACTCTTACTGGAAAGCAAACAGAGGTTTAGGGTGTGGTTCCACAGCTTTGCTTATTTACTAGAGTTCTAGGAAGCAGTGGGTGAAAGGCTTGCTTCTGAACTACGATGTCGCTGGGTAAGATTCACAGGAATCCAGGCAAAACGCTCTCTTGTTTTTAACAGCATGTTTTCTCCGGCTCAGCGTGTTTGCAACGAAACAGGTTTTTCGGAAGGCAGGTTTTTCAACTGGTGGCTCCCCTGTGATGAAAGGTTGCAGCATTTGGGATTTTTTTTTAGTTTAGAGGGAAAAGCGTGTAAATGGGTGGCATGATAGAAAAGCGTCTGAAATTATACATGGCGGGTAGAAAGTGGACGGGGTTTTCTCCCTTCCATAACACTAGAACTCACGGACATGCAATGAAGCTGGAGGTTGGCAGATTCCTGACAAGACAGAAGTACTGTTTTTTGGGGAAAGGGAGCGGGCTGGTGTGGAGGACTCCCTGGTCCTGAATGGGGTAACTGTGCCCCTGAAGGACCAGGTGCACAGCCTGGGAGTCATTTTGGACTCACAGCTGTCCATGGAGGCGCAGGTCAATTCTGTGTCCAGGGCGGCTGTCTACCAACTCCATCTGGTACGCAGGCTGAGACCCTACCTGCCTGCGGACTGTCTCGCCAGAGTGGTGCATGCTCTAGTTATCTCCCGCTTGGGCTACTGCAATGCGCTCTACGTGGTGCTGCCTTTGAAGGTGACCCGGAAACTACAACTAATCCAGAATGCAGCAGCTAGACTGGTGACTGGGGGCGGCTGCCGAGACCACATAACACTGGTCTTGAAAGACCTACATTGGCTCCCAGTATGTTTCCGAGCACAATTCAAAGTGTTGGTGTTGACCTTTAAAGCCCTAAATGGCCTCAGCCCAGTATACCTGAAGGAGCGTCTCCATCCCATCGTTCTGCCTGGACGCTGAGGTCCAGCGCCGAGGGCCTTCTGGCGGTTCCCTCATTGCGAGAAGTAAAGCTACAGGGAACCAGGCAGAGGGCCTTCTCGGTAGTGGCGCCCGCCCTGTGGAACGCCCTCCCATCAGATGTCAAGGAAATAAACAACTACCTGACATTCAGAAGACATCTTAAGGCAGCCCTGTTCAGGGAAGTTTTTAATGTGTGACATTTTAGTGTATTTTTGGTCTCTGTGGAAGCTGCCCAGAGTGGCTGGGGAAACCCAGCCAGATGGGCGGGGTACAAATAATAAATTATTATTATTATTATTATTATTCAGGACAGATAAAAGAAAGGACTTTTTCACACAGGGCCTTGTTAAACTGTGGAACTCACTTGTGCAGGAGGCAGCTGCAGCTGCCAACCTAGATGGTTTAAAAAATTAGGAGGAGATGGAGATCAATGGCTGCTAGTCACAATGGCTATGTTCTATATATCCACTGCAGTCTTGGGCCTGTTTACTCTGAAGTAAGCCCCATTGTGTTCAGTGGGTGCCTACTCCTAGGAAAGTGTGCCAAGGAATCAAGCCCAAGGCTTCCCATCCACCTCCTTGGCATGTTTCTGAGCATCTGTTACTTCCCCTCAGCGGAGAAATTTTGTTTCTCAGCTTCAGGGACTGTGATGGTACATATTTATACCATCACAGGTCAGCGTGTTCCCAAAAGATTGCACTTGTTGATGTTCTGAAACCTGATGCGAGATGTTGCAAAATGTAAGTCTCGAGATGAAATGAGCTCGATAAAGGACATCTGGCTCACAGCTCCTCTTCCAAGCTAGTTTTGGCCTCTGCAAATGTGAGGAGGATGTGGCAGTCCAGTCCGAGATTCCTTGCAATTGAGCCTTCGGCTTCATTAAAAACTTGAGCAGAACCTCAGCAGCAAATGACTTACAAATGTCGCTGATCAAATGCTTAGAGGGCTGGATCTGAATGAGATAAAGACCGTTGTGTGGCGGGGGGCAATAGGCATGGTTCAGTGGTAGAGAACAGGATGGATAAAAATCAACATAATAATTCTAATCATCAGATTTTTAAATTTAAATCTGATTTTATTTAAATCTGATTTTTTAAAATTTAAATCTGATTTTATTTATTTAAATCTGATTTTTTAAAATTTAAATCAGATTTTTAAAATAAAATGCTGAGCTGGATAGACAAATGGTCTGGCACAGGGGTTGGTGTTAGGATTTTTATCCATCTGTGCTCCTCCAGCAGTAGCACTATGTTTTGTGTACATCATGTGAGTGTCTGAGTGAGCGTGAGACAGGAAGTCTGAGTACTGTTGGAAGTTAGTTTCACTTCTGAAAGTGTTGCTGTTGTGTACTGGTGCTCAAAGAGCACAGATGTGCTGATGGATTCTCTATATACAGACTGTAAAATAGTTTTAGAGCTACTGAATCTTTCTTCTGCAATGATATGCCAGAAGACAAGTGTGCTCCTGTCAGGAGAGAGGGGTCGCTTATCACCGGTCTCTCTGGACTAAGGGAGATTTATAGCCAGGGAGGACCACCGGAGAGAAGCCCCAGAGTCTTCGGAAGTTGGCGGCCTTCCCGGGCGTGTTTCCAACAGGTTTACTTTGCCTGGGCCGGATCAGTCCTGCGGAGCCCCCTATGTGGGCCAGATAATGAGCGTGCCTGAGCGCATGCACCCGCAATTTCCAGCGTCTACGTGAGTCTGCACATGTGCAGATGTGATTTCTGATGCCACAGAAGAGAGTCCCCACACCGCACCATGCTGGTTAGCATGAGCGTGTGTCTTGGTTCTGGAGTGGCGCATGGGCCGGTTAAACAGCCTCCGCAGGCCGCTTCTGGCCCATGGACCGCAGGTTGCTGACGCCTGCTCTGACAGCTTCCTGTGTGTTCCTCAGTGGCATGGATGCGGTGGAAAGACCATGCGAGTCTAGTATCTCCTGGCTGCGGTTCAGATTGGTGGAGAACAGGATCAGCAGAAGGCATTTTTCCTCTTCCGGAGAACTGGTCTAACCAGCATCCCATATTGACACCAAGCAGGCGCCTTCACCGTCCTCTTTTCAGCGCCTGTTAAAAACATTTCTGTTTCGACCAGCTTACCCAGATGTTTAGAAAGCTGGTGCGAGTTTTTTTATCTGTCTTTAGTCTATTTTTGTTCTAACTTTTGCAAAAGTCTTACATGGTTGTTAACTTTCCTCGTTGTCTCATCTTTTTTTGTAAACCGCTGAGGGTTTTTTTGGACAACCAAGCAGTGTATAAATCTTACGACGTAAAGGTATTCCTACTGTTCCTACAATCCAGCCTCCTGCATATATTTTGGACCACAACCCCCATCTTCCCATGACCATTTTTAATGCTGGCAGTGGCTGATGGGAGTTGTAGTCCAAAACTTCCAGAAGGGTACCATACTGCGTACCCAGGACTTACTGTAAGTTAGATAGATGATGAATAGAGCTCTGTCTGTTATATGATAATGCAGATTGCTGTTCCTATTATATGGGCGCAGAATGTATTTCTCACTGGGAGTACCAGCAAATAGTGTGCATTGAATCGGTACTGTGGCTTTTTAATTGCTAGACTCTAAGTGGGAAATAGACCAATCTTCAGATCACTCAGTCAAAATTCAGTGGGCTTACCTGTCATGGACTGATTGGAGGCAGAGGAATGGTGGAAGGAACAGGCTGGGGAACCCCCAAGGAAAGGTGGCTCATAATAATAATTAATAATAATAATTTATTACTTATACCCCATTCATCTGGCCGGGCCTCCCCAGCCACTCTGGGCGGCTCCCAACAGAATATTAAAAACACGATAAAACATCAAATATTTTGGTATTTATCCCCCCTCTTATACAAAAATCTCCAAATGGGTCCAAACTTCAATGTCTAAAACTCCTGGTAGAGGACAAGGGCCCAGAGATCACACTAAGGGTGGCCAAATTCTGTGCGACTGCTATAAAACTTAGGGAACAAGCTGTATTACCAGAATGATTAAGGTTTTAAATGACAGTTTTGGGTTATATTTTAGTGATTAAGATTTAACTTACGTATTTTTAACTGCTGCTATATCTGTATTGTCCCTGTTATACCCAATTGCAATTCATTGTATCCCGATCGTGCTTTATGATTTTCCTGATAAAGTCATACCTCGGGTTACAGATGCTTCAGGTTGCGTTTTTTCAGGTTACGGACCACCGAAACCCGGAAGTACCGGAACAGGTTACCTCCGGGTTTCGGCTGTCGCGCATGCGCAGAAGCGCTAAATCACACTTTGTGCATGCACAGAAGTGCCAAATTGCAACCCATGCGTGCTCAGATGCGCAGCTGCAGGTTGAGAACACTGTGGGTTGTGAACATGCATCCCGCACGGATCACGTTCGCAACCCGAGCGTCCATTGTATTGTAAGTGAGCCGGAACTGGTCTGTGACTGTAATAATAAATGCATTCATCAAACATAAAAAACTTCCTTAAACAGGGCTGCCTTCAGGTGTCTTCTAAAAGTCAGATAGTTGTTTGTTTCCTTGACGTCTGATGGGAGGGCGTTCCACAGGGCGGGCGCCACCACCGAGAAGGCCCTCTGCCTGGTTCCCTGTAACCTCACTTCTCGCAGGAAGGGAACTGCCAGAAGGCCCTCGGAGCTGGACCTCAGTGCCTGGGCTGAATGAAGGGGGTGGAGAGGCTCCTTCAGTACTGCCTGCTCTGACTGGCAGTGACTCTCAAGGGTTCCAGGGAGGAACTCTCCCCAGCCCTGCCTGAAGATGCCCAAGATGGAAACCTGGGGCCCCTGACATGGAAGCAGGTGCTTGAATGCTGGGTTGTGGCCCTTCTCTTCCCAAGACTGGTTTGCAGAGCGGATAAGGAAGAAGTTCGGCGTTTCCGAGCACAATTCAAAGTGCTGGTGCTGACCTTTAAAGCCCTAAACGGCCTCAGTCCAGTCTATCTGAAGAAGCGTCTCCACCCCCATCGTTCTACCCGGACACTGAGGTCCAGCGCTGAGGGCCTTCTGGCAGTTCCCTTCCTGCGAGAACTCAAGTTACAGGGAACCAGGCAGAGGCCCTTCTTGGTGGTGGCCCCACCCTGTGAAACGCCCTCCCACCAGATGTCAACAACAACTACCAGACTTTTAGAAGACATCTGAAGGCAGCCCTCTTTAGGGAAGCTTTTAATGTTTAATAGACTATTGTATTTTAATATCTGTTGAAAGCAGCCCAGAGTGGCTGGGTATAAATAATAAATTATTATTACTATTATTATTATTGGAAACAAAGCAGGCAGGCGCTGGGCTCCTTGCTGCTTCCTTTCCCATGACATCAGCCTAGTGACTATCTCTGCAGCCCAGTTAATGTTTACTTGCTGGACTGTGCCCGGCGGTACCTGCTTGGCCCCAGGAGCCGTTTCCTCTGCCAGCTACGACTCCCGGGAGGGAACTGGTGGCTAGCTGATCCTTTGCTCACGCCTGCCTCTTCTGCCTCTCTCCTCCTTTAGATGCAGGTGTCCCTCGTGCTGAGCTCTGAGCCGCTGCCCTGTGGGACCACCCAGCCCCCCAGCAGTTGGGGCTGCTCGTCTGCATCCCAAATTCCTCTGCCCAGCGTTCTCCGCGCCTCCCCGTTCTTCGGAGAGCACGAAGAGGAGTATTTTTAGACGCTGGTGTGTTCGTCGGCTGAAGATAACTGAAGCTCTTCTCCTGCAAGGGCGTAAAACTGTGGGGTGAGTTGCACATGTGTTGCAGGGGGGAGAAGGAGGGAGGCTCACCTGAGAAGGTAGCCGAAGCGTGCGTCTGATGGGGGTGGAAGCGGTTGCTGGAAAAACCAGCATGATTTTTTTTCTATTGCTCAACGGTGTGCCTAGGTGGGACCAGGGAAATATTAAGGCATGCTGCTGATCTCCAGAGGAGCTTGAATGGGAGTTTTACCCTGTTACGGGTGCAAGGTTTGATCAGTTTAATTGGTGAATTAATGACTGAAAGCTCATGTTGATTGGTGTGGGCAACCTTTAATGGATGAAGCGGAAAGCTTAGGGCATGTTTGTTCCCAGAGTGTGTTAACTGTCTTACGTACGTGTGTGTATGTGTGAGAGAGAGAGAAGGAGGGGGAAGAAAGAAAATAAGCGGTTTATGAAGTTGGAGCTTCTTTCTGAATCTAAGAAGCACCCGTTTTGAGTGGTCAGTGTTTGTTTATTTCATAAAATTTATATACCGCTTGATTGCAATAAAACCTGACCTAAGCGGTTTACAGAAAGAACGAAACAATAGAATTAGGATAAAAACAGATAAGAACAACTATTTAGAAAAAATAATTAGAATCACCGATAAACCCAAAATGGATTAAAACCCACATCAATTTTCCATGTACAGTGGTATCTCTGGTTGCGAAAGGGATCCGTTCTGGAGGCCCGTTCGCAACATAAAAAGAGCGCAACCTGCAGCGGCGCGTCTGCGCATGCGCGGGTTGCGATTCACTGCTTCTGCGCATGCGCGTGACGTCATTTTGCACTTCTGTGCATGCGTGAGCGGCAAAACCCGGAAGTAACCCTTTCCGGTACTTCCAGGTCACCGCGGGACGTAACCTGAAAGAATGTAACATGAAGCGGAAGTAACATGAGGTATGACTGTATCTGGTTTTAGCAGGCATTGAAATGGTGTCTGGCTGATGTCGGTAGGCTGGGAGTCCCGAAGTGTGGGTGCTGCCACACTAAAAGATCAATTTCTTACAGTAATAGAGCAAATTTTGCTTAAAAAGCAGCCTTAACTCAGGGTGCTCCCGGGCCGCTGCCATTTTCATGCGTGTATCAATCACATACCAGGAAATTCATCTTGGGCAACAAAAGCTGGAGCTCTCATACAGCAATCCTGCTCCTTAGTTGCAATAAGGAAAGCGATGGCAAAATGCACTGGGATAGCATTTGTTCTGTGCAGTTTCATCTGACCTCCCCAGAATTAAATCACAACAAATGCTCAGGAAATAGCTGGCATTGTCTGATCTCCTTGCAAAACCATAGGGGTGAATCATCAATGATCAGGTCATCTGGGAGGGATTGAATGGTTACAGGCCCACCTACAATCTATGAATGAGTTGGCTGTCCAAATTGGCTGTCCAAATTGTTATTGGTCCCGCAGACTTTAATGGATCAGTTCGATTTATTTATTTTTTAATCAGCTTATCTGATTATCCCTCCAAACTCCCACGCGCGGTTAATTACATTTATAGAAGAGTCACAAAGGTGATGGACATCTGGCGACATCTTAAGAAGTGTGGAGGAAGGAGGACTTCTAGGAGTTTCTTGTGTGTAACAACAAAGCTAAGAGCTCCGTGGGTAGAGCATGAGACTCTTAATCTCAAAAGTCATGGGTTCGAGTCCTGCCTTGGGCAAAAGATTCGTGCATTGCTGGGGGTTGGACTAGAGGAGATTCATGGTCCTTTCAAACTCTACAGTTTTATGGGGGGAAAAACTATGGGAAAAAGGGGGACTTTTCCACCCTGATCTCCAGACCTTTCCATCTTTTGGGCAGACTCCTTTAAGCAGCTTGCTACGTTCTTGCTTCTCACAAGGAGGCAGAACCAAGAGGCATAAATAGAGAGCAGGACCAGAAAAGAGGCGCCGCTCCTGATAAGCAGGGACAGTTGGAGCATCTGAGAATGTCCACACCCTGCTCTGTTTCCATGCTGCTAAACAGGCTTCTGTGCCGGCCCAATGTACTCGCGTACATTTTGCTGTGAGATCTCCTGTGCTTAGCTTCTGCAGCAGGATCTGTTGGTAAACGATTCACTGGTATCGCTCGTTCCTTCTACAACATGGATAAACATCAATGATTAAAAAAAATATATAAAATAAAATAAAAAAAATTTTTAAAATTTAAATTGGAATTTTTTTATTTAAATTGGAATTTTTTTATTTAACTTCGATTTGTAAAATAAAATGCTTTTGGAAGAAAAAATCTTTCTAAAGATTTTCTACTTAAGTTAAATTATAGTCCAAAGGCTATTCACCAATTATACCAGCAGGAATGCCTTTCTGTTAAAAAAAATATGATTTACGGTAAATCAAGTCTTACTGACTAGGGATTTAAATCGTGATTTAAATCAATTTGATGTAAATCAAATTCACCCTGCTCTCCAGCACGTGCAGAAACTGCCTTCCTGACCGTTGGATTCACTATTGCGAGCAAAGCAGCAATAAAATTGCATTGGGAGTGCGGAACTCCAAATCTCAACGGTTCCTTTCAGCCTGGCCCAGGTTAGAGTGATGGAGAGATTTGGTCCAAAAACATCTGGACGGCCACAGTTCCCCATCCCATAGTTATTTGAAAACTGCTTTGTGGTTGATTTGCTTCTTATTCTTCAGAAGTAAATACAAGAGTTTATTGTGTCTTGAATATATCTTTGCTGGAGGCCGGATCTGGCCTGCAGGCTAATCTCTATTGCTTTGGGACAGCCTTCTCCAAACCTGGATCCTTCCAGATGTTTTGGACTACAATTCCCATCAGCCCTAGCCAGCGGGGCTCTTGGACACTTGTTGCGGTTATTGGAAACGTTGGTGTGTTTCTTCTTTAAAGGAGGAATCCCAGAATAGAAGCCTTGATAAATGTAAGGAATGACATCTAAAGATGGAACCATGTCGTCCACCGCCTAAAAATACACATGTATTATTAGTTTGATGCTGGGAACGGGACACCCTGAGAAATCCTGGCTCTGTTGCTTCTGCTGGCAAAAAAAATCATTGTCTTTTGGGCTTAGCAAACTATAACAGGAAAACCACCAAGAACGGGGAAAGGTGCAAAGCATTAATATAATAACAGTATCTTAAAAAGCAGAGACATCACCTTGCCAACAAAGGTCCGTATAGTTAAAGCTGTGGTTTTCCCAGTAGTGGTGTGTGGAAGTGAGAGCTGGACCATAAAGAAGGCTGATCGCCGAAGAATTGATGCTTTTGAATTATGGTGCTGGAGGAGACTCTTGAGAGCCCCATGTGCAAGAAGATCCAACCTCTCCATTCTTCAGGAAATCAGCCCTGAGTGCTCACTGGAAGGACAGATCCTGAAACTGAGACTCCAATACTTTGGCCACCTCATGAGAAGAGAAGACTCCCTGGAAAAGACCCTGATGTTGGGAAAGATGGAGGGCACAAGGAGAAGGGGACGACAGACGACGAGATGGTTGGACAGTGTTGTCGAAGCTACAAACATGAGTCTGACCAAACTGTGGGAGGCAGTGGAAGACAGGAGTGCCTGGCGTGCTCTGGTCCATGGGGTCACGAAGAGTCAGACACAACTAAACGACTAAACAACAACAACAACAACCCCATCCACCTGGCTGGGTTTCCCCAGCCACTCTGGACAAATTCCAGCTGAATATTAAAAAAAATACAGCATCAGACATTAAAAACTTCCCGAAACAGGGCCGCCTTCAGGGCTGCCATCAGCCAAGAAAGCCCTGCTTTTAAAAGAATTCTGCGACGGATTTTGGTTGTCACCCTCAGGAGAATTTCTGCAATCCAGGGGGCTAGTGGAGAAAGTGAAGCCAGAGAAAAAACAAGAGTTGAAAATCTTGCTTTATCTAAAACCAAAGAAGCGAGAGTTACTTCAACCGGTAGTTAGAAGGAGATGCAATCATGCCTACCGAACTGCTGAATATCCGAGTTTCCTGTTTAGAAATAGAGGGTTTGGGAACATATGGCGCTGTAATTTGCTGAGTCAGACCCAATGGTCCATCTATTTGTTTATTTTATTAATTAAATTAGTATACCGCCCTTTACCCATAGATCTCACAATATAACACATGCAATATAAAAAGACAAAGAATGCAATACCGTTAAATCTGTGGC